GGTCTTGATCCAAGAGTGAGATTTTGTGCTCCCAAGCTCGTTTGCACCCTTCAGTTTTTTTTAAAAAAGAGAGGATATTTTAAAGTTTTATAAAATTCAGTCATGTGCATGTACCTGCAAATTTTCATGACAAAGTATATATATTTTTACAGCAATTCATGATGAAGTTTTTTTTTTACAGCAATTCATGACAAAGTATGTTAGTAACTGTTCTTCACAAAAAGGAAGAATGAGTTGCTAGAATAGCAACTTTGTATGCATTGAATTTGCTCTTTTTTCACAGGGCACAAGATAACAAGTGTTTGCAACATTTTTGTCAATAATTTTTTGTCAACATTTTTGTCAATAATGTGACACGTGCTCCGGGGTTCAACTCTGAGTTACCAATCTTGATACTCCTAACATGGGTTTTGGTAACTGTAGGGTCATTGGAGATTTCCCTATGGTATGGAGATGCAAGGCTATGCCTATATCTTGACACATCCTGGCACTCCTGCAGTCTTCTATGATCACATCTTCTCACACTTACAACAAGATATTGCCAAATTAATGTCTATCAGATGCCGCCTAAAGATTCAGTGCCGCAGCAAGGTATAAAATGTGTACCTTTTTTTCTCCCTTCCACTTGATGATGTCCATATATGCAATGAACTAATTTCTAAAATTGCTGGTCATATGTATATGTCGGTATGTAGATCAAGATACTGAAGGCAGAACAGAATTTATATGCCGCCGAGATTAATGAGAATTTACTGATGAAGATTGGCGCGGGACATTTTGAACCAACTGGTCCCATAAACTGGATTGTTGCAGCAGAGGGACATGATTACAAAATCTGGGAAGCGGCATCCTAGACTTTGTTGCACCGCTACTCAGTATAATAATCTACTAATAGCATACAGGTAGGAAGGGATGGCATCAGAATGGAGTGGCTGACTTGGTCACTAGTGGTGCCGAGAAAAGGTTGCAATGGCAGTGGAAGCATTTTCCCTGCAGCAACGCTTTAATATGTACGCACTTGAACATTTTTTGTATCTATATGCAGAACCATTGCTACTGAAGGCAAAATTGCCTGCTGCTTATTTTCAGTGGTTACCCCACTCTGTCTGATATATGTAAGACAGTGCATTTACAATAAGGTTGAAGTCCACTTTGTTGGATTTATACGAGAATAAATGAAGCATATCATGTTTTTCTAGTGTATTCAAGTATAAGTTATACACTTGCATAGCATGTTAAGTAGCAAGAGGGATCCAAGAATTGTGGGGAAGCATAATAGCATAACGGAAAGGGACTTGAATTTTCTAGACAGAGGCATATGAAGGCCAAAAGCATTTACGAGATTTCAGTTCAATACCTAGAGAATCACTGATATAGCTCTCGAACATCTAAAACAAGCTACTGGACATTGGACAAGTAGTACTAATTCTCAATAAGATGACAGCAAGCGAGGACAAGTTCGCAGAAACAAGACGAGTCGGACCAAACACGACCTCCTCAGGTGTATGTGATATGGAAAGCTACCAGTCTACCACCCCCATCCTAAACCTAGAAGGGATCGGCATCATCATCATCAGGGCTTAAGGAGCAGCGAGAGCCCGATCTTGGAGCTCTTCTCGATGGCCTTGGTGTCGAACTCGCTGGAGATGGTCAGCAATGACTTGGGCCTCAACTCGTGCTGGATGAGGGCACGGACCATGCCGTGGTTGTCGTAGCGCACCTTCGTGGTGGTCAGAGGGTCCAAGGAATACTGAAACCCCAAGGTGGTGGTGGTCTCATGGCTCGACAAGCTGTGGCTCACTTCTCCTCCAGCAGCTGCCTGGCTGTTGCTCACCATTTGGTAGTAAGACGCAGATAGGCTGTCCCCTTTGTTGTTCCTGAAAAGGGAAATCATCCACCATTCATACACACCCCCATCTAGTTCATGCAAGATTACAGGAAAGGTGAAGCAGTCAAGAGTCTTTTAGAAGCAAAAACTTACAGCATCACAGCAGCGTAAAGATCGTCCTTGGTGAAACTCGCTCCGAAATTGTACTTGGTGAAATCCCCAGTTGCACTATCATAGGCAACATCAGCACCAAGAGCAAAAGCTTTGTTGCCAACCAGAGCTGAAACGTTAATCAGAGGTTTTGAGTGTAGGCCAAAACCCACACTGATTCCAGCGTAATCATGGAAGTATTGCAACTCAGCCTGCAAGAAGAAGGTAAGAGTGTAAAAGACATCATTTTTTTTGCTATAAAAGACCAAACCAATCTGGAAAATGATGGTACCTTAGCAGGAGTGTGGTTTGTCAAAGGAACGGTCACAATTCTCTTCAAGCCTGGTATGTACCGAGTCTCGGATGTGGTTGTGATTAACACCTAAAAAGGAAACATTGAAACGGTTGACTAAGCTTGGTTCATCAACAGGATCTGAGAGCTCCTTACAATAAGATTTGACCAGAAAAGGACACGGCCACAAACTTACTTGAGAGTCTGAATTTGCTTTCACATCAACTTTGACATTGTTGTACTTAAACTGGGTCTGGATCTCGCCAAGGACAGCTTCTTTTGTCGTTGTGCTTGTAGCAGTGATTGCCTATAGGGATAAATTACAGAATATATTATCAGATTTATAGTTCACACCTAGAACTGAAAGCTTAAGACTGCGGGAGCTGAACTTTACAGAAATATGAAAAATGAGACAAGTATGGACAGAAAATGGATAAAGACAAGCAATGCTAGCAGGTTTTAGGATTTTGACAGTGTCAGTAAACAAGGGACTATAAAAGAACTGAAAAGGTGTAACTGGATCAGTTGTTTGTCAGTCTGTATCACATAATGAGCAAACATATATCTATAAAACAGTAGACAAAGTGATTTAACGTATCGATCATGGTCCTGCTAAAATAAACCAATACAAATTCTAGAATCTAGTATTAATTGCTAACTCCTTCACGACTATCTATGTTCATCTACCTATTCTCAGAGCGTGCCTTCACTCACAATTAATAAAGATCAAGTTCATAAATACACGTTAGAAATCCTGCATTGATAAGTTAAATAAACGTAGTTCCAGTTAAAGAACATAACATGAAGTTTTTCTGGGTGAAAATCTGAAGCCAAAAATAAGGATTTCTAGCAAGCCAAGTGTCAACAAGAGCTGAACTGTCAGGTTTTGGAATTTTGACAGTGTCAGTTAACAATGGACTATATAAAAATGAAAAAGTGTGACTGAATCAGTTGTTTGTCAGCATGTGTATCTATAAAGCAGTAGACAAATTGAACTAACATATTAACAATGGTCCTACCAAAATAAACCAATACCCCCTCCGTCCGAAAATACTTGTCATCAAAATGGATAGAAAAGGATGTATCTAGAACTAAAATACATCTAGATACATCCTCTTTTATTCATTTTGATGACAAGTATTTCCGGATGGAGGAAGTACAAATTATGTAATATAGTATTTACTGTTACATTATAATTGCAAACTCTCTAATGATTATCTACCTTATAATCTACCTATTAATTCAGGGCGGGGCTTCAGCCATAATCAACAAAGAAAGTTCATAAATACACGTTAGAAATCCTACATTGTTGAGTAACATAACGTAGTTCCAGAAGTTTATCTGGGTGTAAACATAATCTCTGAAACCAAAAATAAGGAGAACTAGGTAGAGTGCAAGCAGATCTAGAACCAAAATATTAACACCCAAAGGTACCAAACACCAAATCCTAAAGATCAGAAAGCAATTCATATTAATACTGTATTAACACGTACTTTTAGACACTAAATAAACCAGGGGGGCGAAGAAATGATGAACAATGGCACAGAATAAAGGGAATAACACCTAATTAATATCAGGTCTAGGTTTACTTGGTGAAAAGTGAAATCTGCAGATACTAAAGCATCATGCTCCTCACTAACTATTACATCCAACCCCAAATGCCACTTTCATCAAGCATACAGCTTCAGTCCATGAAGACCATCAATATGTGTGTCACAATGCACACACACCAAAAACTCTTGCATACAGCTTCACGTCAAATTTGAAACCAAGAAAATTGCAAGTTCTAACCAACCTGTAATCAACATTCCATATGACATAACATGAACACAGTAATTTCAACAGTTTTGCTAAAGCACATCTAGATGTGCCATAAGTATTGCACATCTAAGTCATATGTCATTGATCTTACATTAAGATTCGTGTGAATATTTTTTTTCTCTTTTTTCTTTTTCTTTTATGCTTGATTCACTCACTTAGATGTGCAATAACTAGAGCACATCTAGATGTGCCCTAGACACACCCATATACTCCCTCCATTCCTAAATATAGGGTGTATAGTTTTTAGCACGGAAATTAAAGAGTGCACATGGAGGGAAAATTTCACAAGTTTTGGGCAAGATTACACCTGACTAATTAATATGAGAAAATAAAGAGCTTGCCCTATGTAAGGAAATGTAATCAAATCCCTTAAAAAGTTATTCAAATGAGTGGTGCAAGGCAATACACCTTATATTTTGAACTTTTTCTCAAAAATCTATACACCTTATATCAAGGAACGGAGGGAGTAATAAACTAGAGCATCCGAGACAGGGACTACCAACGATTTGAACTGAAAAAAAGAGCTCAATATCACACCTCATCCACCAACTACTCTTAAGGCAGTCTGAGATCTCGTGCACTCCAACTCAACTCAAAATCGAACCATCCCCCAAAAGCCTAACAGACCGCTGGCGAAGACGCACTTCATCCCCAATCTGCATAAAAAATGCAGAAAACAAAAACGAAGCCCCGAATCCTGTGCACACTACACAACACAACACCTCAAACGAAAACCCCAGCAGTCATCTAGAACCCAACTCAAACAATTATAAACTGCCACATACAGGAACGAATCGTGACAGGAAACGACGAAAGGCGAGCAGAGATCGTTACTACTACTCAGTACTCACAGTTCCATTTGCGGCGTAAGTGGTGAGGGTAAGCTTCTGGTCCGTGGTGAAATCCTTGCAGAGAAGATCTGCAAAACCACCAAGGACAGCAACCAGAAATTAGTCAAAGGGGGGAGCGATTAGTCGCTTAGAAAGCTCAAATCGAGAATCATCACCACCAAAATTCCACAAAACCCCTGAAAAGTAACCCAAAAGGGAAGCGCGCGCTCGTCCTGACCTCTGGCCTTCTTGCCGATCTCGGAGTAGAGACCGGGACCGGTGGCCGCCTTGGGAGGCGCGCCGCACTGGGCCGCCATGGAAGGGCCGTCGACCTGGGCCGCCTTGGAAGGAGCGTCGACCGGGGCCGGCTTGGAAGGGACGTCGACCGGGGCCGGCTTGGAAGGGACGTCGACCGGGGTCAGCTTGGAAGGAGCGTCGACCGGGTCCGCCATGGGAGGAGAGCGGTTCGGCTCGAGGACCAGACAGCGGCGGAGGCGGAAGCGGGGCCGGCGGGAAAGGTGGCGGTGGCGTGGGTTTGGAGGGACGGGGAGGGATGGAACTGGAAGGAAGCCACTACTTATAACGGCGTCGAGAGGGGGGAGCCTGTTGTGAGATGAGCGGCGTAGATCTCTTTGCCGCGGGGTGTTGGTTGCCTTTCTCTTCAAGAGAAAGAAGCTGGGGAGGGGATGATGGTCTATGTTTGCTTGGGGAAAGGGTTGATGAGGACGGGTCAATTTAGTCAGTCATGGACTTTGAGTTGATCCCTGTGGCTGTGGACCAAAAGCCACAGTTCTGAGTCGGAGACGCCCCACACCAAGATGGTGTTGATCCGAATGGACATTTTGTTTATTAAGACAAAGTTTTATCTTTTTATTCGAGAGTATGCCAAAGGTGTATCATAGCTTTATAGAAGGAAGAAGTATAATTACAAGATTGCGTCCTAGGTGCGAACACGAAGGACGTTACAACATACGCGACACCAATGCCTCACTATCTTAGACTAACTTCTCACAAAACGTTGTAGTCCTCCGACGCCCACACCCGCCATCTTCCACTCGGCGATTTCATCCAGGATCATGGATGGAAGGTCGAACGCGGTCTTTTGCTCACTGGCCCTGTTGAATACTCTGGCGTTCCTCTGCTTCCACAAGGCCCACGCTACTGCTGTCACCATCGTGTCAAAACCTCTCCGGTCAGCTCTATTGAAACCCATGCGCGCAGCGAGCCACCACTCCGTGAACTCATCCACCTCCAGTGGCCCTTGTATGTGAATGTGAAGAAGGCCGGACACTATGTGCCACACCTCCTGAGCATAGGTGCAGTTTGCCAGGATGTGTTCCACATTGTCCTTCGCCTGCAAGCACGTATAGCAAGCCGACGGTTGGTCTTGTAACCCGTGCCTGGCTCTCCTGTCCGACGTCCACAATCTGTTCTGTAAAGCAAGCCGGACGAATAGCTTGCATTTGAGCGGTGCCCAGCTTCTCCAAGTGCAATCTGCAGTGGGCGATCTGATCAGCTCGGAGTAGAGGTAGTGATAGACCGATTTGGCCGAGTAGGAGCTTGTCGTCGTGAGCGGCCAAGTGAAGCTGTTTGGTTGATCCGAATCCCTCGCCACCGTGTTAATTGCATGAGCAAGATGCATGAGCTGTATGAGGGCCGTGAAGGAGGTGTTTGCCTGAAAGTCTTGTGTCCAGCTAGCGCCATCGAGTTCCTGACACACCGTGCGTCTATTTGCCGTCCTGGCCGAGACCAAAGCGACCAATAATGGTGCAATGTCCGCTGCCGCCACTTCGTGAATCCACATGTCCTTCTAGAAAAGCACTCGCTCGCCCGACCCTACTCTGATGTTGACCAATGTATCAAACACCTCTTTAGCATCATCATCCTTCATCAATGGCAGTTCTTGCCATGGGCGTTGGGCATCGGTCCTCTTGAGCCATTCCCATCTTACTCTGAGCGCATTTGCTTGCCACTTCAAGTTTTTGATGCCCAGACCACCAAAGACTTTAGGTCGACAGATTTTATCCCATGCTACCAGGCACTGCCAGCCATTGCACTTGTCCTTGCCGGCCCAGAAAAAGGATCTCATCCACTTGTTCATATCCTCTAGAACCCACTCCGGTGCCTCGTGATCATAAGATGGTGCTGAAGGAAATATGCCCTAGAGGCAATAATAAAGTTATTATTTATTTCCTTATTTCATGATAAATATTTATTATTCATGCTAGAATTGTATTAACCGAAAACATAATACATGTGTGAATACATAGACAAACAGAGTGTCACTAGTATGCCTATACTTGACTAGCTAGTTAATCAAAGATGGTTATGTTTCCTAACCATAGACAAAGAGTTGTTATTTGATTAACGGGATCACATCATTAGGAGAATGATGTGATTGACTTGACCCATTCCGTTAGCTTAGCACTCGATCGTTTAGTATGTTGCTATTGCTTTCTTCATGACTTATACATGTTCCTATGACTATGAGATTATGCAACTCCCGTTTACTGGAGGAACACTTTGTGTGCTACCAAACGTCACAACGTAACTGGGTGATTATAAAGGAGCTCTACAGGTGTCTCCAAAGGTACATGTTGGGTTGGCGTATTTTGAGATTAGGATTTGTCACTCCGATTGTCGGGGAGGTATCTCTGGGCCCTCTCGGTAATGCACATCACATAAGCCTTGCAAGCATTACAACTAATGAGTTAGTTGTGAGATGATGTATTACGAAACGAGTAAAGAGACTTGCCGGTAATGAGATTGAACTAGGTATTGAGATACCGACGATCGAATCTCGGGCAAGTAACATACCGATGACAAAGGGAACAACGTATGTTGTTATGCGGTCTAACCGATAAAAGATCTTCGTAGAATATGTAGGAGCCAATATGAGCATCCAGGTTCCGCTATTGGTTATTGACCGGAGACGTGTCTCGGTCATGTCTACATTGTTCTCGAACCCGTAGGGTCCGCGCGCTTAAGGTTTCGATGACAGTTATATTATGAGTTTATGCATCTTGATGTACCGAAGTTTGTTCGGAGTCCAGGATGTGATCACGAACATGACGAGGAGTCTCAAAATGGTCGAGACATAAAGATTGATATATTGGAAGCCTATATTTGGATATCGGAAGTGTTCCGGGTGAAATCGGGATTTTACTGGAGTACCGGGAGGTTACCGGAACCCCCCGGGAGGTATATGGGCCTTAGTGGGCTTTAGTGGAAGAGAGGAGAGGTGGCCAGGGTTGGGCCGTGCACCCCTTCCCCCTAGTCCGAATAGGACAAGGAGAGGGGGGGCGGCGCCCCCCTTCCTTCTCTCTCTCCTCTTTCCCCCTCCCGAATCCTATTCCAACTAGGAAAGGGGGGGAATCCTACTCCCGGTGGGAGTAGGACTCCTCCTGGCGCGCCCTCCTCCTGGCCGGATGCACCCCCCCCTTGATCCTTTATATACGGGGGCAGGGGGCACCCCTAGACACACAAGTTGATCCACGCGATCATATTCTTAGCCGTGTGCGGTGCCCCCTTCCACCATAATCCTCGATAAGATTGTAGCGGTGCTTAGGCGAAGCCCTACGACGGTAGTACATCAAGATCGTCACCATGCCGTCGTGCCGACGGAACTCTTCCCCGACACTTTGCTGGATCAGAGTCCGGGGATCGTCATCGAGCTGAACGTGTACTAGAACTCGGAGCTGCCGTAGTTTCGGTGCTTGATCGGTCGGGCCGTGAAGACGTACGACTACATCAACCGCGTTGTGCTAACGCTTCCGCTGTCGGTCTACAAGGGTACGTAGATCACACTCTCCCCTCTCGTTGCTATGCATCACCATGATCTTGCGTGTGCGTAGGATTTTTTTTGAAATTACTACATAACCCAACAGTGGCATCCGAGCCTAGGTTTTATGTGTTGATGTTATATGCACGAGTAGAACACAAGTGAGTTGTGGGCGATATAAGTCATACTGCTTACCAGCATGTCATACTTTGGTTCGGCGGTATTGTTGGACGAAGCGGCCCGGACCGACATTACGCGTACGCTTACGCGAGACCGGTTCTCCCGACGTGCTTTGCACAAAGGTGGCTAGCGGGTGACAGTTTCTCCAACTTTAGTTGAACCGAGTGTGGCTACGCCCGGTCCTTGCGAAGGTTAAAACAGCACCAACTTGACAAACTATCGTTGTGGTTTTGATGCGTAGGTAAGATTGGTTCTTGCTTAAGCCCGTAGCAGCCATGTAAAACTTGCAACAACAAAGTAGAGGACGTCTAACTTGTTTTTCGAGGGCATGTTGTGATGTGATATGGTCAAGACATGATGCTAAATTTTATTGTATGAGATGATCATGTTTTGTAACCGAGTTATCGGCAACTGGCAGGAGCCATATGGTTGTCGCTTTATTGTATGCAATGCAATTGCGCTGTAATGCTTTACTTTATCACTAAGAGGTAGCGATAGTCGTGGAAGCATAAGATTGGCGAGACGACAACGATGCTACGATGGATATCAAGGTGTCACACCGGTGACGATGGTGATCACGACGGTGCTTCGAAGATGGAGATCACAAGCACAAGATGATGATGGCCATATCATATCACTTATATTGATTGCATGTGATGTTTATCTTTTATGTATCTTATCTTGCTTTGATTAACGGTAGCATTATAAGATGATCTCTCACTAATTATCAAGAAGTGTTCTCCCTGAGTATGCACCGTTGCGAAAGTTCTTCGTGCTGAGACACCACGTGATGATCGGGTGTGATAGGCTCTATGTTCAAATACAACGGGTGCAAAACAGTTGCACACGCGGAATACTCAGGTTATACTTGACGAGCCAAGCATATACAGATATGGCCTCGGAACACGGAGACCGAAAGGTCGAGCATGAATCATATAGTAGATATGATCAACATAGTGATGTTCACCAATGAAACTACTCCATCTCACGTGATGATCGGACATGGTTTAGTTGATTTGGATCACGTGATCACTTAGAGGATTAGAGGGATGTCTATCTAAGTGGGAGTTCTTAAGTAATATGATTAATTGAACTTAAATTTATCATGAACTTAGTCCTGGTAGTATTTTGCAAATCATGTTGTAGATCAATAGCTCGCGTTGTTGCTTCGCTGTGTTTATTTTGATATGTTCCTAGAGAAAATTGTGTTGAAAGATGTTAGTAGCAATGATGCGGATTGGATCCATGATCTGAGGTTTATCCTCATTGCTGCACAGAAGAATTATGTCCTTAATGCACCGCTAGGTGACAGACCTATTGCAGGAGCAGATGCAGACGTTATGAACGTTTGGCTAGCTCAATATGATGACTACTTAATAGTTTAGTGCACCATGCTTAACGGCTTAGAATCGGGACTTCAAAAGACGTTTTGAACGTCATGGACCATATGAGATGTTCCAGGAGTTGAAGTTAATATTTCAAGTAAATACC